CTGAGGCAGGAGAATTGCTTGAAGCCGGGAGGCGGAGGTTATGGTGAGCCAAGATTGCGCCACTGCTCTTCAGGCTGAGTAACAAGAGCAAAACTCTGTCTCAAAAAAAAAAAAAAAAAAAAAAAGAATAGGAATTTATTTCTTATAGTTATGGAGGCTGAGAAGTCCGAGGTTGAGGGGTTGTATCTGGTGAGAGCCTTCTTGCTGCTGGGGATTCTGCAGAGTCCCAAGGTGGCACAGGGTGTCACATGGTGAGAGGTTGCGGGGTGCCGGGCAGTGAACTGAGTATGCTAGCTCAGATCTCTCTTCCTCTTCTTAAGAAGCCGCCAGTCAAGGCCAGGCGCAGTGGCTCATGCCTGTAATCCCAGCACTTTGGGAGGCTGAGGCAGGTAGATCACTTAAGGTCAGGAGTTTGAGACCAGCCTGGCCAACATGGTGAAGCCTGTATCTGCTAAAAATACAAAAGTTAGCTAGGCATAGAGTCTCACGCTTGTAATTCTAGTGACTTGGGGGGCTGAGGCACGGGAATTGCTTGAATCTGGGAGGTGGAGGTTGCAGTGAGCCTACATGGCACCATTGCACTCCAGCCTGAGCAACAGAGCAAACCTCCATCTCAAAAACAAAACTAAACTAAACAAAAAGCCACCAGTCCTACTCCTGTGATAACCCATTATCCCATTAATCCATTAATCCAAAATTCAGGAATGGATTCACCCATTCAGTAGGGCAGAGCCCTCATGACCCAATCAATCACCTCTTAAAGGCCCCAACTCTCAATACTGCCACATTGGGGATTAAGTTTCAACATGAGTTTCCGAAGGGCAAACATTCAGACCACGGCATTTGCAAAAATGCACACTCCAATTCTCACATCTTAATTTCCAGTGTCTGACCAGCAGGAAGCAATGGACCAGGTGAGGCTTGGGAGTGTGGCCTGGTTCTTGGCGCTGTGGCCTGTCGTGTGTTCATGTTGAGGAAGGTCATCGAAAGGCCCCATGCCACCGTGTCTATGTGCCTGAGCTCTGACCACACAGGGTACCAACCACCCATTGACATGCTGAGTGCCATCTTTGATTTCACTCACCTTCCGATATCCTGTCATAGTCTTAATAACTGTTAGATAACATTTAAACCTTAAACAGTGTTGAAAAGGCACCATGACAGACACACGCTTGGGCACACCCCAGCCTCACAACCTTCTGAAGCACTGAGCAACCTGTCCCATGGAAGTGTAATGTGAGCTGCACCTGTCATTTTCTAGTAGTTGTCCTTTAAAAAGTCAAAAGAAATGGGTGATTTTAGTAACCCATTTTACTTAACCCTGTACACGCCAAGGTATTGTCATTTCACCATGTAACCGGTACAAGAATTATTGAGATATTTTGCCTTTTTCGGTACTAAATCCTCAAAATCTGGTCTATATTTTGCACTTACAACAAATTCAATTCAGACAGCCTCCTGTCACATTCGGCTAATGGCTTCCATCTTGGACAGTTCAATGCTAGAAACCTGGACCTTGTCCCAGTGCTTTGGCCAACCCCTTTTTCTCTCTGTCTCAGGGAAAATGAGCAATTCCTGCTCTGAAGTGCTCTTCCAGGGTTCCTATTTGCGCCTGTAAGATAGGGACCCTCGCTGGTTGTGGAGACAGGCCAGTAACAATTGTTCTCGATCCCAACGACAGAGATGCTCAGAACCTCATAGAAGCAGCCAGCACTGGGGCCGCCATCTCCGTGAAGGTGGTTGCCAACATCGCTGCCAACCTGATTGCGTTCCTGGCCGTGCTGGCCTTCATCAATGCTGCCCTCTCCTGGCTGGGAGACATGGTGGACATCCAGGGGCTCAGCTTCCAGGTGCGTTTCTGGTCACCACGCTCGGTCTGTAGAGAGGATGGCCCCAGGTGGTGGTGTATGGTGGCTGGAGGCCCTGCAGAGTCTAGGCCCAGCCCTCAGTGCCAGCCACACCCTTGTCCCCTCAGCTCATCTGCTCCTACATCCTGCGGCCTGTAGCCTTCTTGATGGGCGTGGCCTGGGAGGACTGTCCAGTGGTAGCTGAGCTGCTGGGGATCAAGCTGTTTCTGAACGAGTTTGTGGCCTATCAAGAACTCTCCAAGTACAAGCAACGCCGCCTGGCAGGAGTCGAGGAGTGGGTCGGCGCCAGGAAGCAGTGGATCTCCGTGAGTGGCCCAGTCCCTTCCCTGTGGCAGGCGATGACATGGCACAGCTGCTCCTGAGGGCCCCTGGTGGCTGCTCTCCTGCTTCCTGGGCCTGGCTGGAGGGGTGCTTCCCCACCACATCCTATAGTCCCGGGAGACAGGACGGCTTCGGGCTTCGCTGCCATCTGAGGCGTGGGGAGAGAGCCCTGTGGGATGTCTGAGACCCAGGTCTAGATGGGTTGCCCTTCACTGTGGCCTTGGGCCAGCCACAGCACCTTTCCTCTTCTGTGGAAAACGGGGTAAAATACCTGCCACATCTACTCCAAAGGCATACCCATTCGCATCTAACAAGCTGCAGAGTGTGTGAGTTCAGGAGACTTCACTAACACCTTCGCTGTTTTGTTTTTTTTTGAAATGGAGATTCGCTTTTTCAGCCCAGGCTGGAGTGCAGTGGCACATTCTCACCTCACTGCAACCTCCACCTCCCAGATTTCAGCGATTGTCGTGCCTCAGCCTCCCTAGTAGCTGGGACTACAGATACCTGCCACCATACCCAGCTAATTTTTGTATTTTTAGTAGAGATGGTGTTCACCATGTTGGCCAGGCTGGCCTGGAACTCCGGATCTCAAATGATCCATCCTCTTCAGCTTCCCAAAGTGCTGGGATTACAGATGTGAGCCACCACACGTGGCCATCACCTTCACTGTTAATATAGTGGATTCAGTGCAGGGGTTGGTCCTTTCTGTCAAAATTTATTTTTAAATTCTATAAAAGATCTATAAGATTAACCGTTCTAAAAGAATAACATTATTGAGAATGAAAAAATTACCTATAATATCACCATCCCAAATAGTAATTATTGTTGTTTCTTACATTTTCTTCCATTCTTTTTAAGAGAGAGTTTAGGCCAGGCGCAGTGTCCCATGCCTGTATTCCCAGCACTTTGGGAGGTCAAGGTGGGAGGATCACTTGGGGCCAGGAGTTCAAGACTAGTCTGGGCAACATAGTGAGACCCTGTCTTTACTCAAAATTTTAAAAATTGTGAGATGTGGGCCAGGTGTAGTGGCTCATGCCTGTAACCCTAGCACTTTGGGAGGCCAAGGTGGGCAGATCATGAGGTCAGGAGTTCAAGACCAGCCTGGTCAACATGATGAAACCCCATCTCTACTAAAAATATAAAAAATTAGCTGGGCATGGTGGCGGGCGCCTGTAATCCCCGCTACTTGGAAGGCTGAGGCAGGAGAATCACTTGAAATTGGAAGGCAGAGGTTGCAGTGAGCCAAGGTCACGCCACTGCACTCCAGCCTGGACGATAGAGCGAAACTCTGTCTCAAAAAAAAAAAAAAAAATTTTCATGGTGCAGTGGGGCATGAATGTAGTCCCAGCTGCTTGGGAGGCTGAGGCAGGAAGATGGCTTGATCCCAGGAGTTTGAGGGTGTTATGAGCTAGGATTGTATCACTGCCCTTCAGCCTGGGCAACAGAGCAAGACCCTATCTTTAAAAAAAAAAAAAAGAGGAAAAGAGAGAGCTAACATAGTTGCTGCTGTAGCAGCCATCCTGTGCTGTAGCCAGCTGTGTTTTTACTTAGTATTATAACATAAGCATCATTTTTTATATACGTGTCCTAACATACCCAAGCCCCTGCTGTTGGGCCATTCAGACAATTCTATTATTTGGTTTTTATCCGCATGTTGAAATGAGTCTTTTTGTGCGTATAGCTCTTCCTTTCTCTCAGAGCGTTTCTGCCGCGTTCCCAGGTGTGGGCTGACTGAATCCCACATGCGTCTTCACGTGGCTACAGCGGCCGAAATCACCAGCACCAGCTGTGCCCATGAGCGTTTATTTCACCACACGGCTAAACCGCCGGGAGTAGCTTCTTTTTAAAAACAAGGTTCCCTACTTTAATGAGCAAGTAATAGCTCATTGTTTTCATCTGCATTACTTCAGTGACTGACAACTTTCAACAGGAAGTTCTTTTTCTTGTCTTTTAAATTCCTTTTTAAATTGTAAAGGAATGGACTCTGTAGGTTTTTAAAAAAAGAAAGTTTGTGGCCACCCACCCTGGCTCATGCCTGTAATCTCCGTACTTTGGGAGGTAGATCACTTGAAGTCAGGAGTTTGAGACCAGCCTGACCAACACGGCAAAAACCCTCGTCTACGAAAAATAGAAAAATTTTAATTTTTTTCTGCCCGTGTGGTGGAACACGCCTGTAGTCCCCGCTACTCCCGAGGCTGAGGCACAAGAATCGCTTGAACTTGGGAGGTGGAAGTTGCAGTGAGCTGAGACTGCACTCTAGCTTGGGCAGCAGAGCAAGACTCTGTCTCAAAGACAAACAAACAAAACAAAACAAAACAAAACAAACAGGTGCAGTGACTCACACCTGTAATCCCAGCACTTTTGGAGGCCAAAGCGGGCGGATCACGTGAAGTCAAAAGTTCGAGACCAGCCTGGCCAACATGGTGAAACCCCGTCTCTAGTAAAAATACAAAAAATTAGCCAGGCTTGGTGGCAGGTGCCTGTAATCTCTGCTACTCAGGAGACGAGGCAGGAGAATCTCTTGAACCTGGGAGGTGGAGGTTGCAGTGAGCTGAGATTGTGTCATTGCACTCCAGCCTGGGCAACAAGAGTGAAACTCCATCTCAAAAAAAAAAAAAAAAAAAAAAAAAAGGTTTGTATAGAGTCAAGTTTCCCCTCCCTGCTTTCTCTTACCTCTGGTCTCACCCGTCCTCAGAGGTTAATGGAGGGCACACCCCTTCCTGTTCTTTTATTTATTTAATTTTCATGGGTACCTAGTAGGTGCATATGTTTCTGTGGTAAGTGAGGTGTTCTGATACAGGCACGCGGTGTAAAAATATGGAATCCTTCATGAATTTGCACATTATTCTGCACAGGGGTCGTGCTACATTCCTCTGTATCGTTCTGATTTTAGTATGTGTGCTGCTGAAGCACTTCATGATCTTTTTTATGAGCTTCACTCCTTCAGCAAGTATTTGTTGAGTCCACTTAGGTGGCAGGCCTCCTGCTAGGCATGGGGGATAACAAGGAGAATTAGACAGACGTGGCCCTGGTCTCTTGGAGCCGACATCTAGTGAGAGACACAGGCAAACACAAGAAAGCAAAAGAACAACAATTAAAATAACAGCGATTGGGGTGAGTTATTTGAAGGAAAAAACAGGGCAGGGTCTTCCTTTGGTGGACTGGTCAGAAAAGATCTCCCTGAGATGTGGCATTGAAGCCAAGACTTGGAAAAGGGATGAGCTAGGACAAGCTGGGAAAAGCATTCCAAAGGAAGGGGCACGTGCAAAGGCCCTTGGTATGCTTAGAGAACGGAGCAATGAGCACAGCTAGAGCAGGTGGTAATCACAGGCCAGGAAGCAGTCAGAAATCACTGAAGATTTGACATTTTGAATTTTAAGACCATGACTGGTGGCCAGGTGTGTTGGCTCACACCTGTAATCCCAGCACTTCGGGAGGCTAAGGCAGGAGGATCACTTGAGACTAGGAGTTCAAGATCAGTCCTGAAAACAAAGCAAGACCCCGTCTCTACAAAAAATTTAAAAATTAGCCAGGTGTAGTGGTGCACGCCTGTGGTCTCAGCTACTTGAGATGCTGAGGATCACTTGCGCCCAGGAGACTGGGGCTGCAGTGAGCTATGATTTTGCCACTGCACCCCAGCCTGGGTAACAGAGCGAGACCCTGTCTCTGAAAGAGAGAGAGAGGGAAGAAGGTAAGGTAAGGTAGGTTGGGAAGGAAAGGGGAGGGGTGGGGAGGAAAGGGAAGGGAAGGAAAGGGGGGAAGGGAGGGAGGGAAGGAGGGAAGAAAAGGGAGGGAGGAAGGGAGGGAAAGAAGGGAGGGAGGGGCTGCTCTGTGGAACACAGCTGTAGGTGGGCAAGCAGAGATACATATTTTTTCCAATAATATTTGTATCAACTCTTCATGTTATAAAGACATTAACTTTTTTCTGTTATGTTTTCTACATATACTTTTCCTTTTTTTCCCCTTTATGTTGTATACGGAAATGTATTTTTAGTGTAGAACACTTGATGAATTTGCGTGTCATCCTTCGGTAGGGGCCATGCTAATCATCTTTGCATCATTGAAGTTTTAGTGTATGTGTATAAAAAGCACAGGAATTTGTTGTTTTTTTAATTTAAAAATTGTATTTACTTAGAAGCATTCAGAATGTCGACAAAACAGCAGTAACTTTTTAAAAAATTACAGAGTGATATGTACGCATGTATGTATGTATTTTTGGAGACAGGGTCTCACTCTGTCACCCAGGCTGGAGTGCAGTGGTACAATCACAGCTCACTGTAGCCTCTGCCTTCCGGGCTCAAGGAATCCTCCTACCTCAGCCCCTGTGTAACTGGGATTACAGATGTACACCACCACGCCTGGCTAACTTTTGTATTTTTTTTAGAGTTGGGGTCTTGCCATGTTGCCCAAGTTTGTCTCAAACTCCCAACCTCAAGTAATCCTTCTGCCTTGGCCTCCCACAGTGCTGGGATTATAGGCGTGAGCCACAACGCCCAGCCCAAGTGGTTTTCAGTTCATTGTATCAGCAATTATTTGTGTAAGCTGCATCAGAGACAACTAAATATAAAGGCACTACCATCCACATACGCAACTAATTTGTGCTGTGCGCCAAAAAGAGTGTGCTTTAAATTTCCGTGGCAATTTATAACCCTCATACGGCACCAGGCAAGGTTGGTGGCTATTGAAAATATTACCAGGACAGGGTTATCTAAAGACACATTGGGTAGTATGTTAACTATATGAGAAAAAAGACACTGTACAGTTTAAAAACAAATCTTTTTTTTTTTTTTTTTTGAGACGGAGTTTCGCTCTTGTTGCCCAGGCTGGAGTGCAATGGTGCGATCCCGGCTCACCGCAACCTCCGCTTCCTGGGTTCAGGCAATTCTCCTGCCTCAGCCTCCTGAGTAGCTGGGATTACAGGCACGCGCCACCATGCCCAGCTAATTTTTTGTATTTTTAGTGGAGAAGGGGTTTCACCATGTTGACCAGGATGGTCTCGATCTCTTGACCTCATGATCCACCTGCCTCGGCCTCCCAAAGTGCTGGGATTACAGGCGTGAGCCACCGCGCCCAGCCCTAAAAACAAATCTTACATGGCCTTATATTTTAATTTATTTCTTTAAAATGAATGCATTGAGTATTGGCAGGGGGCGGGGGGGTGGCGACGGTTAAATACATTATATATGAGAAAAAACCAAACTGCTAGAACCAGTTTATTCATCATCTTTGTTTTCATCTTTCCTTCCTCCTCATCCTCTTCCTCTTTCTCACGTTTCTCCCATTCTTTCTTTTTCTTGCTTGTTCAACCTTGAGAGCTCCCTTTTTTTGCTGCCCCAGGCTTCCCTTTAGCTCGGTGCGCAGCAATATCTTTTTGTATTTTTCGTTGAGCTTTGTGGATGTCTTTTCCTAAGGCTGCCTGTCCTCCTCCGTGGTTTTATAACCTCATGTTTCCTACTTTCTTTGCTATCTCACCAACAGATAGGCTGGGATGTTCTCCTTTGATTTTTGGGTAATGCTTGGAATAGAACAAGAAGAGGCCAAAGGAGGCCTCTTGGATGTGCTGGGATGCTGGAACTTCTTTTTTGTTTTCCCTGTAGGAAGGTTGTAAGTTTTCGTTTCCCTTTCCTAGCCAGCCTTGTCTGCCTTGACTGCGTCTTCAGATTTTCCTTTCTCTTTAGCGGACATGGTCTTCTGCCTCTGACTCTCTTAGAAAGCTCTGAGGAGTTGCCCGAAGCATCTGGGTGCTGCTTCTTGTGCCGCTGTCGACAAGCTTGGACAGGGAGTGCATATGATGACATTTCGCCTCTTGGCTTCTCAGAGTCTCCTCTGCTCTTGTTTAGCTATTTTCCTCAGTGAGGCACAGGGTCACCCAGTGTCTGTCAGCTCTCACTTGACCCAGCATTCGGGATTTTTCTTTTTTTTTTTTAACACAGATTTTATGCCAAATATTTTCTTTTGTGATTTCTTCTATTATTTCTAAACTTAGAAAGTTATCTGGAAAATGCAGCTGGGCACGGTGGCTCATGCCTATAATTCCAGCACTTTGGGAGGCCAAGGAGGTTGGGTCACTTGAGACTAGCCTGGCCAACATGGAGAAACCACGTTTGGTGAAACAACAAATATAAAACTTAGCCAGTGTGGTAACACACACCTGTAATCCCAGCTACTTGGGAGGCTGAAGCATGAGAATCGCTTGAACCCGGGAGGCAGAAGTTTTCTGAAAGAAAGAAAAAGAAAGAAAAAGCACGTTTTCTGGAAAGTGTTAAATTCCTGAAATAATGTGATGAGATAATTCAGACCATAAGCTTTGCAGTCAGAACTGAATTCAAATTCTGATACAACTACCTTCTTGCTGTGTGAACTTCCTTAGTTACTTAACTTCTCTGAGCCTCGGTTTGCTCCTCTCTAAAATAAGAGTAATAATACTCCCTTGTAACTATATTTATTATCCTATATTTTCTATCATTTCATGCTTAAAATGTTAATATTTATCTAGAATTTTTATATAGTATGCGGGAAGGCTCTATACCAATTTTTTTTTTATTTTAAAATTTTAATTTCTGTGGATACATAGTAGGTGTGTATATTTATGAGGTACATGAGATGCTTTGATGCACACCGGCATGCCATGTGTGATAATGACATCATGGAGAATGGGGTATTCATCCCCTCAAGCATTTACCTTTTGTGTTACAAACAATCCAATGATACCCTTATTTTAAAATGTACAGTTAAGTCATTGTAACTATAGTCACCTTGTTGTGCTATCAAATATTAGCTCTTACTCGCTCATTCTAACTTATTTTGTACCCATAAATCAATTTTGTTTTCAAATTATTTCATTTTGGCCCTTAAACCTTCTTTCTGGGAAATAGGACAGTTGTTAAGAACAAAAGGGAATAACTATCGTGTTTAAACACCTGCCCTCTGCCTGGTGTTTCCTGTATTTTACGTAATCCTCCTGACGGCTCTCCCAGGCAGGTACTATTATTCCCCCATTCTAGACAGGGAAACTGACACTGAGAGAAGCGACTGACTTGCTCCAGCTGATCTTGGTGAGCTAGTCCTGAAAGCCAGCCTGGCTGGGCTCCAAATCCCTTACTGTTTCCTGTAGGCCACACTCCCTCTCTCAGCCTGAGAGCAGTCACAGGAGTGCTATGTCCGGAAAGGGGCTGTCCACCCAGTCGCCCCAGGATACAACTTAGTAGGGCCAAAGCGAGAGGACTAAGAAAGGCTGAATCCCGTCTAGAAGGGCCGGTAATGAAGATTAAAAGGTTGAAGGACAGATGAAAGAGCAAAGCTATGTTTTTGATGTGGTGCCATTTGAGCTGATGTAGAGGTGGGATTGCAAGGCTGGGGAAGGGGCAGCACAGAGGGCTTGAAGATCAATTACAGGTAAGAAGTGGGTAAAGTTAAGGCCAGGGATCCTGGGTGTTATAGGGCCACCCCGGGCCCATCTGAGGGGAGCCCCTCCTCATGCATCTTCTGTATTTTCAGGTCAGAGCTGAAGTCCTGACGACATTTGCCCTCTGTGGATTTGCCAATTTCAGCTCCATTGGGATCATGCTCGGAGGCTTGAGTGAGTCTAATGGGGGCCTCACCAGTGTCTGGGAGAGCCAGAGACTTGAACTTGCTGGGGACATGGAGGCCTCAGTTGTCTCATTTTTCTAAAGCAGGGCCCAAGCAAGATGGCCGTAGAGGCCGTTCGTGGTGGCTTGTGCCTGTAATCCCAGCACTTTGGGAGGCTGAGGCGGGTGGATCACTCGAGACCAGCCTGGCCAACATGGCAAAACTCCATCTCTAATAAAAATACAAAAATTACCTGGGTGTGGTGGTGCACACCTATGATCCCAGCTACTCGGGAGGCTGAGGCACGAGGATGCTTGAACCCACAAGGCAGAGGTTGCAGTGAGCCAAGATCACACCACTATATTCCAGCCTGGGCGACAGAGCGAGATTTTCCTTCTAGCCCTAGAATTCTGAATCTCTGCTGCTGGTGGTGGCCTAGGAGGTCAGCACTTGAGCCTTGAAGGCCAAGCCTGGCTCAGGGGTGGGAGGTATGGTGCTGGCCTGTCCCCAAAGCTATGGTCTGCCTGTTCCCACACCCACAGTGGACAGGCAGGCAGGCCTGGTGAGGCCTAGGGTCGAAGACTCTGCACAGTTCTCAGTTCTTTACAAATAACATTTCCACTCCCGGCTGCTACCCTGCCTGGTGGTGAAATCACCCCATTTTACAAAGAAGGAAACTGAGTCTTGGAGAAGTGAAGCATGGCTCAGATCCCTCGGGTAGCGAGTGGCTGGACCTGCATTTCATCCCAGGTCTGCCTGGCTCCAAACTCAAATTCTTTTCCTGCGTCTGCCACGGATGGTGTGTGGGGAGGTGTGGGCATTGCCGCCAGGCCGAAGAGGGCTCCTGAGCTCAGCAAGTGGCCCGGAGGACAGCGTCTGTCCCTCTGGCCATCTATTAATAGAAGAGGAAGGGAGGTCAGCAGATGCAGCCGGAGCTAGAGAATGTGGCAGAGAGGGGCACAGCTTCCCTGGCCCTGAGTACTTCTGTCCCCTTGCAGCCTCCATGGTCCCCCAACGGAAGAGCGACTTCTCCCAGATCGTGCTCCGGGCGCTCTTCACGGGGGCCTGTGTGTCCCTGGTGAATGCCTGCATGGCAGGTGAGTGCAGGCCTGGCAGGCGCAGAATGTGGAACTCTGATTTTCTGGTTAGCCCGGGGGCCCTGCCCACCCACCTCTTTCCCCCCACAGGCGTCCTCTACGTGCCCAGGGGGGCTGAAGTCAACTGCATGTCCCTCCTGAACACGACCCTCGGCAGCAGTAGCTTTGAGGTGTATCAGTGCTGCCGTGATGCCTTCCAGAGGTAAGGGCATGAGCTATGGGGCCTGCAGGGGACCCCCCGCGATGGGGCATGGAATGGGGCCTGCAGGGGACCCCCCGCAATGGGGCACGGAATGCCTGAGTGCTGGGGGGGATGCCTTTGGTACCAGGGTGAGGGTAAAAATGTTATGGCTGCAGCTGATGGGGAAGTAAAGGCTCGAGGACCAGTGGAGGAAGGGTGGACCAGAGACTTGAAGCAATGTTCCC